GAAATGTCAAACACCAAGACTTCCACCATAATTTTTAGGCCACATTAAGACAAAGGCTTACAAAAGAGGAAGGCTGAAAGACCAACTCTAGTTTACATTTCCACCTTTCCAATTCATCATTCATCAACTGAAGGAGGGTTTCTCAAAATAAAAAAAGACAGAAACAGAGACTAGGTAAGCACAGAGCCTCAGAAAACAGAATTATTGGTAATTTTAGCTTGTATGCTGCTGTCACTCATTCTCCAGGGAGCACCATGCTCCAGGAAGATCTGGCAAAGCAGACCTCTGGAATGAGAGGAGCTTGTGTGATGGAGAACCTGGAAAGCTTCAGACACTGAGCTTGACTGCCTTGAGCTGGGAATGAGGGATGAAAGCAAGTCACAAGGTCCGTGGTGCTGAGATTTCCAGTGCAACAACTCTAGTGACTCAAAGTGCCAAATTTCAACCCCTCTGAGTGCAAAGTAGAATAGCACAGGATTTGAGTCAGAGGTTGGTAAAAAAATGGCAGCCAGACATCCTCCATTAAACTTCTGGAGTTGACTGTCTCATTGCTCTGACAGGTTATCTCTAGACAGAGGAAGAAAAAAAAAAAAACCCAGACAGCTTCCCCCATAAGCTTTTTCTAAGAGAATACAACAAAATTGGAAAAGTCATAAGAGAAGTCAGTCTTTGCTCAAGATAAAATTCTTTAGAGAGGAAGTCCTCAGAGAACTGTTACACCACCTGCTTAGGTGCAAATGGGAAATCTGACTAGAACCTTAATTTATCAGGGTAAATCGAGGTGTTGCAGCCACATGCATGTGAAAGAGGGGTTTCCTGATAGCATTCAGAGATTTTTTTTTTAGGCCATGCAGGGACATACTACCAAGGCATACTATGGTTGAAAATGTTTGTGTTACTAACAAAGCTTGAGAACCTGGAACAGTAAAGGACTGGCTACAAAATCTTGTCAGTGCTGGTAAGTCCAGGACAGCTGAATTTCAAGCTTAGAGACATTCTAAGTCTATGCATCCAGCTAAAAATCCTCCCATGTTACGACAGTTTGGGAATTCGTGAATTTATGAATTCCAATTTGAGTTTCTGAGTTCCCTGTATATTTGTTTATAGTGATGGCTCTGCTGGTCTTCAAAATGTTGCCAGAAAGTCCAGCTTTAGAGACTGTGTGTAAACACAGCTCAGACTGAGCAGGCTGAGAAACATGTGTCCAACACAGCAGCCTGCAGAAGGGGGAAGCCCAAGGATGGCTGGAACAGACTGAATAGAGAAACCGTCTTGAGGAAGCACTACGCCTCACGTATGCAAGCTAGCCGAGGTCCCCTCCAGCCATAACCACTTGCTTATAAATCTATAGGATATAGAGAGCGGCAAAAAGATCTAGTAAGGTGTCAGAGGGAAACCTGGTGCTAAGGAATAGAGTAAATTCCTGGCCACAGACAAAAATCTCCAAATTCCTGTTCAGTTGGGTGAGTTACTCCATATTAGGCAAGTAGGGGCAGGGACCTTGTCCCATCATCTGAGATATCTACTTGCTTGTTTGCTTGTGAGGAGACAAGCAAACCCTTTGGAGAGGCTGAAGTCAGGAGTGGGATTCAGACCTGGTGGTGGTGGTCAACAGCCTGAATGATGGTGGGGAGATGTCCAAGCACGGGAGTTTTGTTCACGGCTGCCACTGTGGAGCAGAGTGGCTCCTATTATGCAGAGAGAAGGTTCTTGTGCTCAAAGAAGTGCCCCTTAGAGGGATTGCAGAGGGGATGAAAAGGAGGGACACCCCCAGTGAGCTTTTTTCTTTTATCTTGCAGATGAACCAGATGGTAGGAGCAGCAGAAACCAAAGGAGGAGCATGAAGCCTTTAAGAATCAGATTGCTAAAACGTAGGGAAAACTGAAGCCAAAAACTAGGCCTGGACAAAACAGAGCATCAGAGTGGAAAACAAGCATTGGAGGACCTTAGCCAAAAGCAGGAAGAATAAAATAAACCAGCTCAGTTCTTCAATTTAAATTCCAGCTCTGTGCTTTCAGGAGAGGAGACTTAGAGAAACCAAAGAACTGGCATCAGGTCTCCTTTGTAGCTGCAGCTGCTCACGGTTATCTGCCTCCACGTTCCCTGGCAGACAGCACTGCAGCGCCGGAAGCCTGCGAATTTCCCAGGATGTGAAAAAAGGGCACCAAAGAGTGACCAGTGGATCCCCCAGCAATTCGCACACGCCGGCAGACACACATGCTTGTCTAACAGGTAAGAAAGATCCTGCTACAGCATTGCCGCAGCCCCCGGCAGCTTACGATCGCCCGCAGCTGCTCTGCATCAAGTCACTGATGGTGGGGGACATGTAATGTTCCCTCTGAAAGCCCTACTTGCTCAAGCAGGGCTTTCTGAGCCGCTGCTGAGCCTCTATTTTAATTGGCTTTCAGGTCCCAAGACAGATTTTCCTCAGGCAAGACCACCTCGCTACGGGATGCTGCAACACATCCTCTCTTCTCAGGAGTACTCTCATTTTTCAGAGCAAATGCCCATAAAGAGGGCATGATGTCAGGCATACCATCTGCAGGATGCGCTGTGCTCCTCCATTACCAACCGCAGACTGACGGACGCTGCTGCGCTATCACCCCTGGAGGAAGCATTACAAACCCCTTTCAACACCCACCTCCCAATTTCAAGTAAAGATCCCGTGACACTTGGTGGAAAAAAACAACATTGTATTTGATTTACAATTGACAGGATTTACAAATAATGACAAAGAAACAGATTAGCCATGAAATTAGGATGCCTTTGTTGAAGGAGTAGCTGGCAAAGCACCTTTATGTAGAAGTCATATACCTCAGTCCTAAACAGTGTAAAATAACTTACAGCCCAGGCAGGTTCAGGAACGATTATACACAAATGCGGGAAGTCAAATACAAAACAAACCAAAAAACCCCCTCCCAGCTTACCCAGGCAGGAAACCGGTTCTGGCGAGGCTTTTGATTTTTGGAAACAGAAGGAAAGACCCACTGACAAATATTAGGAAATTTTCAAAAAGCCGGGGGGGAAAATATATCAACAAACAGTAAAAGTCACTGTACGACAACCCACCAAGCAGGGAGAGCGGGCAGCAGACACTGCGTTAGCTTGCTGAGAACCGGCAGAGTCCGAGCGCTTGGCAGGACGATGAACGAAGGAGTACAGATGGCAGCGCTTCATTAAAATGCTACTTTACTGCCAAAAACTTGCGAGACAAAGAGGAATAAAGTTCTCTGATGTGCAATACAGCAATTTAAGAAGACGTACCTAACTTTTTGATTTGTACGGAGCTCACCTATATCGTAAACACACACTTTCTGACAAGTTATTTCAATTGTCTTTGCTATGGGTTATGGTGTGTATTCAGTCAAATGCAGCATTCCAAGGCTCAAAACTGACTGAGTGGTTTTCAATAGATGGGTATATGATTTTTCCAATATCATACTAGTATTTTACATCACAAATACAATAAAAACAAGTGATGGTATTTCTAGGACAGTTCCAAGATTCAAATAAAAAACCATCAGAACCATTCTAAAATAAGATATTATACATAATCAAATCATGTTAAACAGCACACTCTCGGCAAGCAGCTAATTACAAGCATTCTGCTGGTCATGTTTTTCACACAAAAGTCATTCAATAGCACATAAATATTTCTTCTTCTGATCTGCTTCTTTTTACAAAACCATTCATCAGATTCACAGAATTAGTACAAGTAAGGCACATTAGCATATATCATAAAACTCACAATAATAACAAAGAGTTGTAAAGTTTTAAGGACTAATTCCTTCTTTGCAGTGATTCTGAACCAAATGAGACTTTAACAGTAGAACCCTCTTACATTGATATTACTCTCATTTCCGTCGCAGCCAGCTGTGGTGGGTGCAATACTGTGCATCACCATGGACATAAATAATTAAATTAAGAACCGTGTGTGGTAGCAAATCCCATTCTTAGATCTTCCAGAGAAATCAGACACGTTGTTCACGATGTTCATTATCAGCATAGACTAAGTTTTAGAGCTATATGGAAGTCAATTTCCAGTTATCAAAATAAAAGGGGATATTGCATGTGTCTCTGAGTATGTTATTGTTTTCCTAGTACAAATATTGCTTAAAGTAGAAAGGATGCTATAGTATTGAATTTACTTGCATAATGAATCCTAAATGCTGATGTCTCAAATTCTACTCAATTAAACGAACTGTAGGTTTTCCTTCTTCCACCCCCCACCCTGCCCCCAACCAAAGGACTCTCTTTCCCATAGAAGATTCATTTACACACAACACAGCTTTTAATTAGAAGCATAATTTACAGTAAAAATTTTTTACATTACACCTCTGCTATCAAAAAAACATGAAATCTTTCATTTAAAGTTGTAATTATACATTAAAAAATAGAACACTATTTCCTTAACAGGAAGAATGAATTTGAACATCTTCAGATCAGATTTCTTTATTGCGGCTTTTGAGTCAAAGGTCAGTCACTTTATTCTCTAACGCAGCTGCTATTTGCTGTAAACGGAAGGCAAGCTGCATTTTTTGTGCAGCTGGATCCTCTTCAAGTGCATTTATAATCTGGAAGAAATAAACACAGAATGTTTAGAATCATTTAGCTTAAAATACACTACATAGTTCCTGGACCAAGTGTTTGATACTACTTTGGTTGTAAAGGATCTTTCGCATTCACTCTGCACCAAAGATAAAGTCCATCTAGTAGGCCCCATGTTCTCTTTTTGCACAAAGGCAATAAAAGTGATCGTCTTCATTACTTCAGTTAAGTTGCTGTGATGTTTCCCATTATGCTGGGATCCAAGCAAATTAATAGGTAGTACTTTATCTTGTGAAATACTACATTCCAAGATGGAGCAGGCAGGGGAAAAAGGTCTTTATAGCTATTTAAGAAACAGTGCTTTTACTTACAGTGCACCCTACAAGGCTAAGGGTCATTTACCAGACCCATGAGCTTTGGTTATGAGAAGCTCCTGGGTGGTCCACGCACAGCATAAGGTAGGGCAACGCGAGGTCTCTTGTGTCTGTAGGCAACGCGATGAAGAAAACAGACTGGCCACAGTGTCAGGGAGCTGCAACAGGGAGCTGCCGGCAGCTCCCCTTTTGCTCTCGCAAGAAATGCCGAGGCTCTGGCCCAGCACCACGTAGCTCAGGAAGCAAAGAGCTCGTCAGAGGAGCCCCCCAGCATCCCGCACGCAGCCTCTGCTATACGGAACATGTATAGAGGAAGGTATGAGTCTAAGACACAAGGGATTTGAAAACAAGAGCTAGAAAAGGTCAACTGTTATGAGAAGGCTTTTCTTCAAATAGAGTTTTTTAGGGCTTCTCAAGATCAAATTTCAAAGGTTTTGAAAGGTTTTCATTTCCACCATCCTTTAGGGAAACTTTTCCATCAACTATTAGATTTCTCCATTAGAAGAATGTATTACACAGCAAAACTGTTGCTTCTCTAGAACTGGCTTTATTAATAAAAGTCAGACACTGTAATCAAGCAGAAACCTTCAGCTCTGTTGAAATACTATATAAACTTGAAAGTACAAGAACTGGAGAAATAGAGTTTGCCTGTCATTCACTACCTGTGGTTCTTACTACTCCTTGCACATCATTGACAATGCAGATTAATGCAGACAGCGTCAATCTAGCCAATAATTTCACTTTGAAGGGCTGGTATAGCGTTTGAGTTTCAAACACTGGAGCAAATTTGTTTAGAAATAATTATTATAATGAATTTGTTTTTAAAGCGTGAAAATGTTTCTACAAGACAAAGTTAATAAACACTTATTGCGGTATTTAAATTGGACCTAATTTAATCTGATATTGTTCCCTTAATTTAAACAATTACATCTAGCTGTAACTACTCAAATCTAGACTAAATAATTCATTATTATCTCTGCTGGTGAATATATCCTTCATATAAATGTGGACAAGTAGAATGTACCCACTTAGTCATTGTCAAGCCCTGCAGAGATGCAGAAGGTACAGCGCATGCTGGGAACCACTGCGTCAGTAATAAACACAAGGGCAGCTGCAAAATGTTCCAATTTATGCAAATTAAAACATTTTCATGGAAAAGAAATAAGCTCGATTAATTTTATTGAATGGTTCTTGACAGATTATCTCCATAACTCTGAATTAGCAGCCTTTTCATCAGACACACCTTGTTGTCATACAGTGATGTACGTGAAACGAAGAGCTGCAGCTACGCACTGGGCTTTGCTGGCCTGCCACTGATGAAGTCCCACAGACCAGCGACTCCACCGGCACCTGCCACCAAACATGAACCCACGAGTGGAAGCAGGGACAGAGGGGTGTGGAAGAATCAGGGCTTTACGGTTCATCTGTCATCCAGGGTCCCTGAGTGTTTCCGTAAGAGGTCAAGCCCTGGGTACGTTCGGGAAGGCGTTGAAAGCCAGCTTGGTTAGCGCTGGGGACGAGGGGCGAGGAAACCAACGCCATCGGGAAGCCTCTGGGCGCTTCCCTGACTGACCCTCATTGCAAGACTTCTCAGGGTGATTTGATTTTCCCTGCTTACATCTGTTGAGAAGCTGCGACAGGCAGGCTGCTCCTGTGTAAAGCAGCTGCAGTGAAGCTGAGGATGAGACTCACTGCCTTTAGTGCTAAATATAAGTGAAAACACGAACTGTGCTGAGGTGCAAGACAAACTGAAGAGCGCTCACATGTACTGTACTCCTTTTTGATTCAGCATCTGTTCTTACTTGCTTTGATTTAATTCTGAGAGCTTTCTGGAGGCATTCATTTCCATGGAAACCTTTGAATAAAAGTTTCCTTCTCTCTTTTTGTTTTCAGATTAAGTTTGGAGAGCCATAGCCACAGCCCAACTACACTGGGATATTCTTTGTCCGCCTTTCCACAGGGTGTGAAAAACCCAAGAAATGTTTTGGATTGAATCTATGACTCTCCTTTTGAATCAGGCTATATTCAACAGTTACTCTACTTTGGTTTACCTTGGGCAGCCACTTCATTTGGCATGGCAAAACAGGGACAACAGCATGCATGGAAGTTTTAAGTGCATCTTAACTAATGAAAAAGGCATGGCCCCATTCCTACCAGCAAAACAAGTTTAATGGATTGTTCCTAACAGAAAAGACACTGGCTTGAAAACTGATATAGCTCTGATGACTACTTTTTGCTTAGTGACATTCTTATGTCCTAATTCTTAGGAATTCTTAGGAATTAAGATGGTAGTACTGAAGAGAAATGACTTTTAAATCTATTTCTCTTTCAGATCTTGTTAAACTATCACTACCAAAACCAGATAGCCCACAATGAAATTTTTCATTTATAACACACCCTTGACCAGTGTAATTGCCAAGCAAGGTGTGTAACTGCAAAGTGAGAGCTTTCTGCTCAGCATTGCTTTTACCTGATTATCCAGGGAATTCCAGAAGTTGTTCCTTTAGACTGAGGTTAGCCTTCATAACATTTTACCACTGACAATAAAACATGACAATAAAAGCTTCAACTTACCTCATCATAGTATTTGTTAGTATACTGGTAGAGTTGGTGTAGAGCCACAAGTGTATTTAAGGAATCGGTATGTGCCTGTTAAAACAACACAAGCAGGCAGCAAACGTGTCAAAATATGATCACAGACAGCTGAAAGTTAGGCACATACCAACTGTTGGACACAATATACAAGATTTTCAAATGCAAGCTTAACAAATGTAACTTTTGTTAAATGACAGTTGGGGCAGAAAAAAGGGGTGAGAAAACTTTTGCTTGGTGATTTTTAGATCAAGACTTTCCCACTGGTGTTTTTCCAGCCTGCCCACAACTCTAACACTGGAGGTGGAAAATATTTTGAACTCTGAATGTCAAACCACAGACTACAGCTCAAACATCTGCTAACAGCACGGGTATGCATAACGAAAGCATTTACTCAGTACAGTCTACGTATTGTTGAGATATTAAGCGTTAGTTCTGTCACTGTCACGGCTGTTTGAAATCCTTTCTCCAGCTCCTTTTTAGCTCTTTGAAATTATTCACACCTCACTATAGCAAAGGTGTAACTCGTCAAGATCAGAAGCACACGTATGTTTGGAAAAAGCCATCTGAATCATGAAGATGGAAGGGGGGTGGTGGGGGAGGGGGAGAGAGAGAGAGAGAGTGAAAGGACTTTGAATGAAGCAGGAAATAACCCTTCCATTACCTCTTCTTCCCTCCCCCCTGATATTTAACTTGTTTAGTGAATGTGCTCTACCTGTCTAAACAGATGTTTTTCATTCAAATGTATAGGATGCAAGTTTCTAGCTATGCCTTTAGTCTTTTAAGTTAGTTAAGAAAATGAAGACTTGCAAAATATTGCTACTGGCATAAAAAATTACCCAAGGAAAGGGCAGCAGAGAAACATCCATCTTTCTGTGCTCTATAAAAGTAATTTCTAGAGCTGGTCAAAATTTGCAATGTTTAATCATTCCTTCCGTATTCATTTTTATCATAATTTATAATGTCAATAGAAAAGATCAACATATTCTGCTGATGTTAAAATATTCTATTGAATTTACTTTTAATCACCAAATGTTTTAATTTTATATCCATCTCAATTTGTGTAATAAATAAAGTGAACTGGAAAATGAACTGTCACTGCAGATGAGTTTTGTAGTGAATGACTGAAAATAGAAATGCTCTCATGAGGATGTTGATCTGCAAAATGTTAGTCCTAAGGGCACTGAAATAAACAAACCACGAAAAATTCCCCAAACATCCTCCTTACACTAGAACTCTTCAACTAAATTAAGCAAATGAGCAAACCAGCCAGTAAGTACGCTGTCTCTTTGCCCAGGCTAAACAACATCTTTTAAGACTGGTGAGGGCCTCTCCTGGTTCTCCACGTTAAATCGAGTGCTTCGAAGGTACGAGCCTGCTCTAGCTAAGCTGAGCTGCAGAGTGGACAGGGTCTTTCAAGACTGAAGCAGGCTTTGTAGTGTCTTTGCTCCAGCAGTCTCCAGCCAGAGTCCCCAGCTAGCAACTACCCCCCTCCGCCCTTCTCCATGAGAAGTAACCCCCAATAACCTATAATGCAAAAACAAAAAGTGCCACTGAGTGAGCACATGGTGAGCTTCTCACGTGCAGCGTAAAGCAGAAGTATTACCCTCGGATAGACAGCTCTAAAATAGGCTATACTTAACGTATGTGCCTCCTCTTTCATTTCTGGAATCTAATTTTTGCTGCGGTAGGACTCTGAATTCAGTCATTACTTGTTATCAGTATGATCAATGCTTAAAATCCTCTATATGCTGTGGAGAGAAAACACAATTCAAGAGCGCTATCATTTTTCCACAATGGATGTGAAAAAAATCTGATTGCTTTGCTCTGGCACCTACATCACTCAGGTTAGTGATGATAAGCATTCTTGGTTCCGTTCAATAATCAACATTTCAAAAGGCTAAAAGGCATGACTACACTAAACAGCAGTATTTCAGGGATTTAGGAAATAACTCATTTGATGTTTGCACATACAAAAAACCACTTGTTGAGTTAGAAAGAGAAGACAAACAGTGCTATACTTGGCTCCAACTTCAGGACAAGAAAATGGAATTTATTCTTACCCTAGAAATCTCTGCTAGATGGGTATTCATGTCTTGGTCACTAACTGGCACCATCTGACGAATACCTTTGTAGTAACTGCAACAGATGAAAACAGACTTTCAGTTAGGTGAAATACATTGTGGTTTTCTGGTAATTCTGTCTTTCAATTTTGCAATTATTTTAAACATGCTTTCTAATAATGCAGGATATGCTCTACCACAACAGAGCAATGATTCGTTTAGTAACCCTGCCTTCCAACAGTCATTAGTACCTTCACAACAGAGGCAAATCATACCTGATTGTACAGGCCACACCACAGGAAAGAAATCTATTTATAATTGCAGCCGATGATGATTTTAGGTCTTCAAACTTTTGAAGTCATCAGCTAGCAAGAGTTTTGTCCTGCGGCAGATCTTCTGTGGTATTCACAGAATTGCCAATTAGTAAATAAATAAAGTCAGGGATGGAATAGAAGAAAATGTGGTTGTGAAAATGTTTCCAGGATTTGATCTCTACTGAGTTATGGAAGTGCAGTGTTGGTTAGACAGACTGTATGGGTAACAACAACCACTGCAGAACACAGCATCGTATTTTCTCCTGAATAAATCCATCCCTCTGTCTGTACAGACATGAACGTGCACTGGGTCATACGGTGCTCCATTTCAACCCTGCCAACGCCACCACCAAGGGAATGTTTTAACATTCAGGTGTAAAATTTTTAACATTTGACAGTTGACTTTGACTACTACCTCAGCATTCATTTTTCCCCTTACATAGGCTTAAGGCTTAAAGCCCTAACAACTCTGAATAAGCATGAAAAGAATCTATACTTACTCTTCCACCATTTTCTTATAGTTAGAGATTTCTTTTGCGTAAAGTAATTTATTACTCGGAGAATCCTGAAAAATTTATAACAGAGAGAAACTTGGTTGATTTATGAACATCTCTAGGAAGCAAAAGAAAGTCAAGAACTTAAGATCAAGCCTTTATATTCACATGCACTTAAGCTTTACAGATATTAACATCTGGATACTTAGTAACATTGGTGAGATTATTTGTCCCACCAATGAAGTTTACAGACGGCATTGCTGTTGAGTTTTACAAACATGTCAGTGCCAGATGATACTAAATTATTGGTGGACGTGAGATAATTAGTTCTTTAACTTTCTTTTTATAAAAGCAGTTGCTATTTTCTCCTTTTTATAAATATCAATTGGCAGATTCCACAGGAACACTGACATGTTCACATACCTGTTAAGTGGTGAAATGCTAACTTCATTATAAAACTAAAAAGAAACTATCAAGGCTGTATCTCCGCAGAGAATGGGTATGGTCTATAAGGATGCCCTTTGTCTTGTCAGGCATGAGTGTAGTCAGGATGTAAAATGCAAATCACTTACTCTGCTTAATTTGTGCTCTGTTCTTGTGCAAGCATCCATGAAAGTCTGTGCAATGACTGACAAGGAAGCATCCACTACTTCATGAACATGAACATCAAAGATAAAATGGGGATTTTTCAGTATGTTTACCCAGAATCTAAGAGGCAGGCTGCAAAGCAAGAAGAAAGATAAATAATCCTTTTTAGACAGTAAATGTTCTACAACAAGCAAATCACATGAAATTAAGTACAAGTTTTGCATTTTGATCTCCTCACAACAGTGAAGCTTAGTTTTATATTTCAACATTTACACAAGCTATCCGTTGTCTGGTTTCCATGTCTGAAAACCAAGCCTTTACCTCTCTCACAGAAAAACTCAGCTGAGAAGAATCTTGAGTTCCCCAAAATAGCAAGAGAAGATGTCTGCATGGTTAGAGAAATTACCCAAGTAGTATTTTATTACATTTTGTGCTTTGACAGGTAAATCTAGTCCCATTTGCCTCTTGGTTTCCTCTTCTCTGAGGAAAGACAAAAAGTGTTAAATCTGCCAGTGACAACCCTATAGGTAGCCTGGTTTCATTTTTGCAGCTTCGAGGCTTACAGGGAATCCTTTTGATCATGTAAACGTATTATCTCAATTAAAATGATTCTCAGAATTATAAATGAAATGTACTTTAATTTGTGGTAGGAGTGCCAGTACATACCTGGGAATTACACTCTCATTTCTCTCCAATACGAGTATTACTCTGTTCATACTGTACCTGTTTGTTTTCCAGATGTGAATGGTATCTTCATCCTTGATGTCATGTTTTTCTGCTTGCTCATCAAGAAAGTCAAAGAAGTATTTCACAGCTGGTGGCACCACATGGTTTGAGTTGAGCACGCTATGAAAGAAGTTATCTACAAACTGCTGAAGTGTCCCCTAAAAGCAAATTTAAAAAAAAAAAATATTACATTTGTGTTACAGGCTGAACTTCATGCCATCCTGGAATCTTTTATTCCTATTGACACTAACAGCCCGTTAATCCAGCTGCAGTCACTGGTGGCCTTCATCCTGAGTGCTAAGGGCACTGGTGACAAAACCAAGCAACTTATTAGTGCAGTGACCTTGCAAACTGCCAACACAGTTAAAGACCTTCTAGAAAACAATTTTATGTTCTAGCCTGACAGGTTGTGACTTCACCAACTATTCTATGGTTTGCACAGAAAGGTGTGCTTTCAGCTTGACAGAAGCAGCAGGTTGTGAAGTATACAACACATTTACACTTCAGGGTTATTGTGGACATAAAATAATTGTTACCCATTTTTAATGGTTTTGCAGCTTCCCACCTCCAGTTTCTCTAACGCCAGAGCACCGTGCAATTTTTAGAAACAGAGAGGGAAAAGTACCAGTGAGCATTTGACTTTTTGTTTAAGGACAAGCACTTGGGTCTCATCAGACACCCAGTCTGGCGCAGCTCCATGAGCTCCACCGAGCCCAAGGTGTGAAGTGTCCCAGGAGGGCTGTGTGCTTGGTTGGTTTCCTGCATCTGCGTCGACCTTAGAGACTGCAACCCCAGAGACTGTCCCCTTGTTTTAGAGATGACCCTGTTGAGGCCACATGCAGTTCATCCCTGCTCAGCTGGTTGGCCCTACGGACACATTTGAAGGGCTGAATCCTCTCCCTCACCATCACTCCAGCTGCCAGCCTCAGAACAGGACAGGGACTGAGAAGGCAAGGAGCCCTAAGCCACTCTGCTGTCAGCAAGGACACATGGACAGTCCTTAGGTTGTAGGGGTAGCTGTGGTCCCAGCCATAACATCTCACTAGCTCTGTATGAGTTAGTAAAGCTCCAGACTGGTAATCATCTATAAACTAGCTATCGAGAATAGAAAAGCAGCAGCTACAAAGGAGTTATTAAGAGAAGAGATGGATGTAAGCATCTTGCTGGCTCTGTGTCCTGAGTCTATGACATCTATGCACAGACTTTCCTTCACATCCTCTTTCACACTTGGACAAATGGCCTTAGCTGGAGCCAGAACACCCTCATTTTCATGAGGAGCCTGGCTTTAGGGTCAACAACTTTCACACTTGGACAAATGGCCTTAGCTCCTTTTCATGAGGAGCCTGGCTTTAGGGTCAACAAACACATTATTCTAAATTCTTTCTGAAGGAGGAATGCTTTGCAAAATTATTTTCCTTGTGATCCATTCTGCAGTATAAGCACTAAAAATACTTTAAAAGGACAATAAGGATTATTTTAAAACATTTTTATTTTTTCTAGGTTATACTGCAGCATTGGTCACACACAAGAACAGGGAAATATAAGGCTCTCTAGCAGTTTATAAAGCATTTGGTTCAAAAGAAAACCCAACAAAATATCTAAACAGGTGGCACAAGAGAATATCCGTCTTTGACTTGCAAGAAAAATCTTTAACAAACACATAATCATGGTTCTGAGCTTTGATCAGGAGTTATATTTTATCTCTTTCCCAGTCATGTTTCTCAGGGCATATCAATCACTTGCAGCCCTGAACACCAGCTTGTATGTACATGACACCTATTCAAAATTGCAGCCAAATGCATGACTAATAGTTGCATCATTTTCTTTAGTTGTACCTCAAGATCTATAGAAGTAAAGTGTAACTGTGGCACATCTGAGCCCTACCTTCACAGAAAGAAGTCTGGTCAGGTAGATTTCTGTAATAGCTTTGGTCCTCTCTTTTTCTTTCACGCTGCCCCGCTTTGATTTACCTTCATCTATTTCATCTACTGGCCGGACTAGATGCCAGACCTTATTTTCATCTTCCAGGAGTGCATGCCCTAGAAACAGTAATCACAATAATTACAAAAAACACCCCCCACACAAAACAGCAACACGAAAATAAGCACATACATAAGTACCTGCAAGATCTTTACTCCCTATCCTTAACATATCTGTCCTGTTGCCAAGAGCATCTCGATTACTCTGTTCCCGTCCATACAGAACTCAAGTACTAGATGTTCAATAATACATAAGCTGAAAAAGCTTGCTTTTGTCAAGAACAAAGGGAGAGGAAGGAATCACACAATAAGAAAACTCCTGTTTAGTCACGTAAGCACAGTATATGTATTTTTTGAGGTCCACACACTTAAGTATTCTACCCCTTTGTGAATTCTTGGAGACATGATCAAGTTACAGAAACTCAGCTAGGTCTGACCCAACAGCCACCACAGAAAGAGCGATCATAGCCTACTCCAGTTGCAAGGCAAGATATTGTTGTAGCAGCTCTGGTTAATTTGGCAGTGGCAATTTAAGAATTTATTATCTCAACCTTTTTTCTAGGTATCACCATTACAATTTACATTTTTACACTGACTGCTGAGTTCAAAGTAAGGTAACTCAGTTCAAACCTGCCTTTATCAGCATTTGACCAGCACCACTTGACTTTGTAGTTGAAAGAAGGAAAAATGCATCCCTGTGTTGAAAAGACATGAACTCCAGCAGACAGAGGTAATGACTGCTGCAAATTCAAAATCCATTATAATAAGATTTTTAAGAATTTGTTTGTTGGTATTCACAGCTCAAACCAGAGAAAGAGTCACATCAAGTCTGTTACCTATAGCAGAAACAGGAGTAAGCACCTGGATGGTAATGACAGCTCATCTGATTATAACGCCTTGCTATGCTATCCATGGCTTGGTCATGCATCTGGTCCCTGAGCTTAGTTCAATGATCACACAGCGGAATAAAGGGAGTCTTGCATTTGAGCATCAACATGAATGTTCAGACAAACTCTACACCTGAGAATCTTTTGTTACGAACAGTTCTAAAAGAGATGATACAATTGCTTTAACTTGCAATTAATATCCCTTGAAAAAAAATTCAGTGTCACAAACTTAGTTTCAAATCTCCTGGTTTTGCTTGTTCTTCCTTTAATTTCCAAATTTTTGTATCTACTTGGTATAGTCCCTAAAATTGATGGTGCTTTTCCAGTGGAAGCTACCAAATCGGTGCATTTTAAATCACTGATATCTTAAAAATGTGGAAGTTATTTTTCCCATGAAAATTGTGATTCAGCCCTATTGCACAAATTATCTTGCATTACTGCTAAGTTTTATGCTTTAATATACGTATCTAACGTTAACTGAATCCCAGTAACAGCAGAAAATACCAGTTTCTAATTGCATGAATTTTGTCCTTTCAAATCTTTGGCCATAGTAGTTTATTAACTAAGCTCCTCTACAGCTGCATTAAATTTACCAGCTTGCATGTATGTTTGATATTTTATATCACAGGGGAGAATAACATTTATGTGTAATCTGGCCAAGCCAATACTTCTGCGTGAATCTACTTCATATATCCTCACAAAAAGCATTAGCGATGCAATCTTCCGGGGCCTTTACTTCTTTTCAACCAGCCAGGGAAAAAAAACCAAACCCCATATTAAGTCACGTTGTCCTTTGAGAGTCCTTAATTTGACTTGGAAGTTCATGTGAATGAAGCAAGAAAGAAATAAAAGCTATCACTTTGTTTTGAAGCAGCTGCGATTTCGCAATCGATACCTTTCATAGCGATCACCTGCCAGTACGGCGCGAACCGCTGCTGGGCCTGAACTCCGGAATTTCTGTTGCAATGCCTGCTATTTACTTTTGTAAATTAATAGATCAAATCACGCAGTTAGCGCAGAAACTATTTTACACTTCTGCTCCCTCCTTTGATTCAAAGGAATTTATCCTCTCTGTGCCCTCCTGATGGTATATGGCCCAGTTTAACTCTGGAGAGAAGAGAAACGACCGAAGGTGTTTCCACTGGGATTACTGGCCCTTATGGGCAGCTGAACGTGGTCCGTGTTCGTTTAGCAACAACAGAATTGGCTACTAGTGAAATAGTAGTTATTTCATAGGAAAGTAGGGATTAAGAGACCACAGCTCAACCAGATGAACTTCTGCCACACCAAGATCCCACTTCATGACTAAAAATAGCAGGAAGAAAGAGGAAGAGAAATTCAGAACATGGGGCAACAAACCGTGTCAGCAGTATGGTTGCTAAGCGAAAATAACATTTCCGTGAGATAATATTTTCCCCAATGGAAAAGTAGGAGGTGAAGAAAATAAAAGATAGGGGAAAGCACCTCCTTTTTTATCGCGGTAGCCACATTATGTGTCAAGCCGTAAGCGGGGAGAAGACTGTGCCCACTGGGTCAAATGCTTGCCTCCGAACCCTTTGTCTTGGCCCTTGGGAATTCTTTGGCCAACACAAAATAATGCTGGGGGAGGTTAATGCCAAATATTGACTGCGCTGACTAATTATAGCGGTATGAACCGTGATGTAAACATGATGGAGGCAAGTGAGATGGTGACAGGCGATGCAGCCCCTTTCCCCTTGCATGGCCTGCAGCAAATTAGCTTCCCTCCAGTCTCTTCCCCCGCTGTGAATACACTGCTCCATGGAGGTGAAGGAAGGGCTGCCCAACATGGATCTGCAATCTCTGCCTATTTTTATTCAGCATTAGTCTATCAGTAGCGCTGATCTGCAACCCTCTATTTTTATTCAACATTTAAAAAGGAAAACAATAACCCAGAGAAAAACCCCAGAATAACAGAGTGTGTTGTTTTGGCTTATAGTTCAGTACAGAAATACTAGCATGAAATCATTGAAACCATTCTCCATCTTGATACAAATTAGTAATTGCATTTATAATTTCCAGAAGCAAAAGATGCTGCATTTAATTTGTCACAACCTCCAGCTTCTAGTGTCTTCCTGTTAGCAGCTGTGAATCAAAAGCAGTGCGGAAGCAATGCCAGGTTTTAGAGCAACATCTCTGAGCATGGTTTTACATTTTTGTGGAAAGCCTAGTACTTTGGCAGACAGTCAATGGCTTCAGCTGACACTTCTCAACGCAAAAGGTGCAAGTTAATGAGAGACTCTGAATAAACGCAAAACCACTTTGTCACAAGCCTCATTCATAGAGCTGGGATAGGATTTCTATTTATTCCCACCCTGTAAATCCCTGTGTCATATAAACGCGTATGTGTGGGAGGGGAAGCCTCTGACCCTCTCCTCTCCCTTTTATACACATAGCATCTCACAAATCGCTGTCACTGCGGGCTCTCGCTTTGCACTAGCTTTGTAACATTTTATGGCTTTCCAAAAGAACAAGTTGGCACCAGATAGCACCCTTCGGCGCTAAAGAAAATAGGCTAGCCTGGCATGAAATGCCATCTTCCCAAATTTGTACACTACCATGGTGCAAGACAGGATGTGGAGAAGAAACATGGTGGGAGTCATCTTCACTCCATACTTTGGGATCTGAATTCTCTCTGCAGATTTTTCTCTTGTGTACCAGAGCCCTTGGGTGACAGCACTGTCCCCAGAAGTCTGCTTTCTCTTTACAATTTAGTATGCCACACGTATAACTAAGGAGTTCATCTTGGAGTAGAGATCATGTATGTTCAAAACGCTTCATCATACTGAATCATAGCTGAAGATGTAATCATAGAGGAGGAGGAAAGAAAAAAAACAACAAACCAACAAAAACCAAAACTGCATGGTCTGGTCCTCTACTGCCTGCCACAAGGGTAGCGAGGTGGGGAGGGTGGAGTCCAGGAGCCCAGAACGGGCGACTGAACTCTGTGTTAAGCAAGCAGCGCAAGCTAAGGACACCACCAGGCTCCACTCACGGTCCACTCCACTTCTTTAGAGTGGAGGCGACCACCGCCTCAGCTGTTATCTCAGCAATTGGTGCAACCAAACTCAACAGGGACTGCGAACCATGCCCCCGCCCAGCTGCGCTTCTCTATATTAAACTGAAGGGCTTTTTAAGTCAACATGCGGGGTCAGCACCTGCTGTGACAGAGTAGCCACCCCTGAGCCAACTGTGGCAGGCACTTGCAGTAAAGGAGTGAGAAGACAGCAGCAGAGGCATAGCCACGACCATTAGAAGATCCTTCAAGGACATTGGAGAAAGTCTCAACAGAAAGCATCCAGGAGGACAGAGTAAAAAGTAAATGGCAAGTAACTCTGCCTGTCCTCATTTCCTGGCCAACACTCAACACAAATCAAATGGAATTCTGCACATTTTTGTTAAATAGCGATACACGTCAGAGCTACCATCTGAGAGCCATCTTCTTGAAAAGTGTACATTTCTGGCATATTATTTCCAATCTTTTTGACTGCCCAGCCCTTGAAACCTATTAAATCTAAGAACAGTAAATCTGTTTAAAGGAATTAAACTATTAGTCTAGCAATGACTTTTGCAATCAGTGCTAGACAGAAAAGCATATCAAAAGAGTTCATAGAAGAATGATCTCAACAATTATCATTCCATAAATCTAAATTCTACCTTGTGTAAAATAAGTGAATATAATGACAAAGAAAAGGAGAAATTGAACATCTGAAATGTAAAGGAAACACGTGACAAAGAACATAAATTTACAAGTAAATATTTTCATTAAAATCTGAGTGCATTTTAGGCTATAATGGATATTGTGTCTCAAGAGGTTTTGAGATAAAGGAAATTGGTCTAGACAGAACACTAACATATAGAAGTTAAAGCTTTAAAAGACAGGTTGCAACCTAACAGGTTGTCTTCCATGTTGAGAAGTCCAGCATACTGTAGCAGACAGCAATACCAGAATTATGCAACAGCTGCTTTAGTGATGTGAAAGAGAGGAAACATTTTAAGGAAATTCCTGACACTAACTTACAGTGGATTGCAAACCTCAAGGAGAACAAAGGAATTGTGGAAAACACTTCATCTAAAGAGATAACACATATGGAATGAACGTGGCTTTTATAGTGAGGACAAAGAAAACCATTGCAAGAGTGCAGTGGGTAACACACAACAAATAAGCCCTATATAGTCTGGTGGGGAATATCTAGCACCACAGACATGCTTGATAAACAAAATCAAGACAGCAGGGTCACTCTCTCTGTGTGGGTTTTGACTTCTAGTCATTTTGGGAGGTAATGAAACCACAAGATACTTACTCTCCCCTGGGACATCTTGCTGATTATCCTCTGGCTGCTGGGAAATTCCCATTTTTGATAAGATGAGTGTGGCACCATCTCGGACCTTTGAAAATACAAACACAGGGATGTTATTCGAAAGAAGTATGCACTACTGAACCTCTTTCTTAGCGTCTAAACTGCGGTTTCTGTAACCTTTGGCAGGGAATCTGGACCTATGATTAATGCTGCCCTTCAAAGTCTTCTTGGGCAACTGGCTTTGCAATTCACAACAGACTGCCCCCCCTTCCTTTAAGAAGAGATCCCATCAGCACCTCCTCTGAGATTACTGAAAATGCGAGAAGCATCAACAAGACTTCAGTGGTTCCTCTACCCGCTGTGGGCGCCCTTTGTACAAAAATGGGGTTTATAATGAAGAGTCCGCCCTGTCTGTTTTCTGAGGGAAAACTAACTTCTATCTTTCCTAGTCGGGGTTTCTGTTGTTAGAAAGCAATAAATAGCATATGAAGGGAAGGTAAGCAGTTTGCAAGTGGTTGGTAGAGTGCACAGTCCGAAACCTAAAACAGACAGTACAAAAACGTCAACATCTGCTCTCCTCACCGGGCTGTTGAACAAACCAGACCAACCCAAAATCTATTTAGCAGCAGAGCAAGGACAAAAACAATTCTCAGGGGTAGGAAGTGGTAGAGAAAAGAAGAGATGAATACGAGACCTTGCGAAAAGAACTTTTGAATGTTCAAAAGGGAATTTGGATTTAGACACTGCTATGATGAGGAAACCAAAGTGCTGGCATTTAGGTATGTTTCTGGTAAGATATTTGGGCAGTGTGTCTAGACCTAGCCTCTCACACTCCCAAGCTTTTACTGCCTAGACCCAGAGCTAGGGTTTTTTTTTGATTCTTTATGTAGCACAGAAGTTTCTCTAAAAACAAATAAAGATTTTATTTATTACTAGAGAACAGTTAACAGATGCGAACAACTGCTCTGAAACACCTCCTTACATTATAATGCATTAGTGTGTTGATACGTTTCCATCTGCCATCTCTTTGGGATGTTAAATCCAAGTCTGAGAGGATCTGTGCAGTAGAACCTGGACGCCACTCTAAGGGGTAATAAAAATGAGAAAAAACAGTTTTTAACCATGTGCAAAAATAACTACACCAAGAACATAGTTTAGAGACCCATTGATGCATTGTGGAACATTAAAAGAAGTAATTTGGCACATGCCACGATGAGGGTGTTTTATTGCTTAATAGTTTGGTCTTTATTACAGAAGTTTGCATGAACTGCTCCTAACCATGGACATGACTTCTGATTACTTTCCATAGAAAGTCAAATTCCTTTGCACAGAATACTACAAATACATATAACAAGAACTGCTATCAGTCCAAAATAGAATGTATGGAATAGAAAAGGCATTTTTAGGGAATTTACTAGGACTTTCTGAAGAGCAAGAATTGCATTCTGCACTTTCAGATTAAGGCAGTAATGAAGATATTGCAAAACTATTAATTGGAGCTTTTATTATGAGACTATTAGGCCTTTTAAGTTACGTCAATTTTTTTTTTTTTTCTCAAGAGAAGAACAGCAATTTTGAAAGCCTTCAAGGAGGATGATTTTTCAGAGGCTGGGTGGCTCACCATCTCCTAAAAGTGCAGCTCCCGTAAGTTATAATTCTTTTGAATAACCATGATAAAGGCAAGTCAAAATCAGTATCAGTTTCTGAAATTGCATCATTACTTCTCCATCAGTTAATTGTCCATGCTGTCATTATCACATTAATTAGTACCTGAGATACCGACTCTGGCAGACATGAATACATTTGTGCTAACAGTCATTAACAGGCTCTTTGCACACTAATGACAGAACACCAAAACTTCAAGAGTCAGAAAAAAGAATCCTGTAAGAAAGCATTAATTTTTAATGCATATTAAGATTGCTGCAATATGCTGTATTTTTGCATCCAGCTGAACATGAATTAAAATTTAAAAAAAATTATTTTATAGACATTTTTGGGGAAAATACAAAATCACACAACATGTTTCACCTGCTCAATATAGCATCACACGTAGCTACCTACCAAGAACTACACTTTCAGCTTTTGGCCACTGAGAACACGGCAGATTTCGATAGACTTGATCTATTATCTTTTCCTTTACTTGTGATATAGTATCACAGTTCAGCACTTTCACAGGTATGGAATCGGTTCCTCCATCTTGTACATATACATTTACTGTCTGTAAAAAAACAATGTACATGGTTAAGTCAAATCAGCGCTGAATTACCTCTGAATCTGTTTTTCTGCGTGATTTAAATGCAAACAATATCTAAAATCCACTATGCAATGATTATTGCACAGCAGCACATATTTGCAATGGGAGTATGGATTATTTGAGGGATCCTTTGCTGTTATGCAGCCAACCAGCTATCATAAATTCCAGCTAATTCCTGCCACTATGACAAAACAGAAAAGATGCAGAATAGATTTACTCATGTCTCATGTGCTACTATTATTGAGTCTTGGGAATTTAATAAAGAGGGACACACAAAAACAAAGCAGTTGGACCATATAGCCTTGGAACATAGAAGAGCACAAGTAATGCAGTGTGCAAACTTAATGAGTTCCCAATAATCATTTGAGCTGCACTTTGCTGAACTCCTAGACTATTGTGTGCTTTTGCCTTCCTTTACGCTGTCTTCATGGTCGTGGTTTTACTTCTCCAGTTGAGCGGACTAGGTCTGTGCATATGGCGATTTAACATGGCTCAACTGATGAGCAGTGACTTGTTCAGCTCCCGTAACTTTACCTCCTGTTACCAGCTGTTCATTAGACACATATAAATACACACATACTTGCACGCAGACACGAATATATATGTATATATAAAAGCCATTTATATAATCTTTGGTGTTTGAAGACTTCAGTTACTGCTTACTGTTGTCAGAATAACTCTAATAGCTCCAGGAAATACACCGAACTAGTTTATGCTAGTTCTAGAATATTTTTGGATAGTATTGACATGGGTTTTTTTCACATTAAAGAGAATTTCTTGAAAGCCTGTAATTTGCTAAATCTAAACTGATTTTTTTAAAATTAGCTTCACTATGTAAGTGTCAGTTTTAATAGAGACAAAAGCAAATGAGAAAACAATGGCCAGGAAACCTCTGCAGAAGGATGAAAACCACAAAACCCAAATATATGTTATGAAAAGCCTCTTTCTTTTGTGAGCTGAGTCAGTACAACAGCTCAGAGGCCTCGTGGATCTTTTGCCTGTCAGGTAGCTTTGGAGGCGAGGCACATCGGAAGCACCGCAGCTCTCAGATACATATGGTCCTGCCAACCATAATGCCTGAATTTATCATCTCAAGCCTCAGAAATAAACTTGCATGGCTGGTATTTTTAAACAGTGAAGAAAAGCTATGCCATACGGCAGTCAAATTAAACATGATTGCACTGTCCCTTGACAGAACTCTCAAACTAATAATGAGATTTCACCTTCCTTTTCCTATTAGCTTTATGGTAATTAGACATGATTTTGCTGCTGGTTCAGTATGCAGCATGTCAGTGTAACCAGCGATGCAAAACAGATTCGTCTTTTAAATAAGAACAATTAGAGAGCAGACAACTGCTCTATACTGTACTTTCTCACCGTGTCTCACTTTCAGGCAGAAGTGAACTAATTAACTCATGCTTTAACCTACCTTGGTGCAAAAATGCTCCCTAACTCTTCACAGTTACCACAATGTCATCATCACACCATAGACCCCAATAATTTATAGCAATAGTAACCCGCTTCATAGTCTTTCTTCATACATATGTATCTCTCTCATCATCTTCCATGCATGCACACACATAAAATCTTTGTTTGATGGAAAATCTGTAAATCTGGACCAAATACTGCTATTATACAATGTTATAATGTTTAATATCTAGCTAGTATGCTTGTTGTGCCTACATCTGATTGCATACACAAATTTTCTGCTTTCACACTGCATTCATTTAGCTTAATTGCAGGCACTGGCTTTTTTATGAAAAGAAACAGACTGAATAAAGAATTATTGCCATTAAGTCTTACACGATGTACAGTGCAAGTAAATTTTGTTCTCCATACACAAGAGAAAATATAACCAGCATTGTTAGTGTGGTTTCTATGGGTGGCACTTTCAGCTCAGATATGAAGATGACAACTCAACTAATCCCCAAAATATCAATTGAACTTAAAATATTTCTTCTTGCCCAGCACACCCTTTTACTCCAGGCAGACCAGGTCACAGTCTAGTGATTCTGTGAGTGAAAGTCCTACAGCAATCTCCTCACATCAGCCAACCCATCAACACCTTCAGAATACACAAAATGGTGATTTTTTTTTTTTAGCAGGACTTAATAAAGCTTTTTATTAAGTTTCTCTTTCCACACTGCAGATATGTCACTGCATCCTTCTCAGTTGGAGACAACCACAAATGGCTCCTAATGTCTCAATAAAAGAAATCAGAGAGGGAAAAAAAATTCCTGTGTTGGTCTTTGAAGGACAGTCTGTGCATCTTTGATATTCATTACACTGTATCCTGAAGAAAACCAGCAAGACTGTCAGAAAAAGTAAAACTAGAATTTTCGCTCCCTAAACAGCTAAGGAGCTGGCTGCTTCAGTTTTTTAAAAAGACAGTGAATCTATGTGCTGGAATCTGGTTGAAAAAGTGGTGGAAATTTGTGGCAGTGAGCAGAATTAACTCAAAGCAGAATTCGTAATAGAAGAGAACTGAACCATGGCACTGGTGATCAGATTCAGGAGGTGGCGGAGCTCAGATGGGCAGTTCCTGGGGCAGGGGTGTCCAATTCATCCCACTTGAAGCACCTAACATGGGTCTCCAGAACTGCCTGTAGAGGCAGCTTCCCCTCATCACTGTAGGGAATTACTTCCTTAGGGGGAAATAAACCCCTTTCAAGGCCAGTTGGGATGCCCATGTTCAGGAGAGTTTGACTCGCACAAGAAGAAGTGAAGAAATAGGTTCATAAAGTGCTTTGGAGATTGCAGAGCCAACATGTTCTCTAAAATGATGTTTTGATATGTTGTTGAGCAGCAATCACAAGGGAGGAAGGCAACCCGAAGTTCAAGCATAATGTTAGTGCAAGAATTCTGCAAAAATCAGTTGCCAGTTAATTTAGGTGGGAAAAGGGAAGGAGCCAAACACCCGGACCACTGTTCAGACAGACTTTGAAAATTATGAAAGGGATTTACTGAAATGGATTCCACAGTGGCAGGACTTGGATTTAACACTTGGAAGATACTTTATAATTCTATTTTCCTGCTTGGAGACTTGCTTTGGTCAAACTATTGACAGTCCTGCCCATGACCAGAATTTCTATGCAGACCACAGAAGTCCAGAAAAGTATGTACAGACTCAACACTACAGGACTTAATTTTAAGAGAAAAAATTATGTTATAATATATTAATCATGCTTCGCTTACCAACTGTGTATACTCTACATCATCTCCCAGTAAGCCTGTGTCATTCAATGTATACTTGGCTTTCTTTAGCACAGCATCCACTGGGCCTTTTTCTACCTGGTGTTTGATAGCCTTGAACAATTTATAAAGAGGCTCCCCGGCATTGTCCTGTTTAAAGGAAAGGAAATGAAATAAAGCAAAACCAGTGATATAGTCAATGCAGCATGTTTAAGTATTGTTGATAAAAAATCCCACAGGCATCTTACCTTGAGGTACTGATATAAACAAATAGACATCCAGTTAGACAACATTCTCTCAACAACCGTTTCAGATCTGAAAAAAAAAAAAACCCCAACCCCGAGTATGGTAAGGGTACTTAATGACAAAGTTTTAAAGAAAAACATTGCTTGCTTGAAATATAATATTTTTACATGCTTAACTGCATGTGCTCTCCTAATGCATGATTTCCCTATAGAGTCTTGAGAGCATATACTTGCTTTAGGATAAGTGCTTTGTATTGCTCATCATTCCTGGGTACCTTCAACTCATTACTGAAAAGCATACATCCTTCATGCAAAGTCTTAAATGGGGTCTACGCTGTGAGAGCTAAAAAATTAACCTAGTTGTGCAGTTACTGGGAAAATAATCTACAGATTACAAAGCCACAACATACACAGAGCAAGGTCCTTTGTAATTTATTTAGGATAACAACAGGGTTAAAAACACTAGAACAAGCCCTCACTGAATTCACAATGCAGGCTGATTATGTATGCTCGTTATGGAGATGATGTGTGGTATAAATGCTAGATAATTTGGAATAAAATTAGCTTAAAAAGTAAATTAAATGTTTGGTATTGTATTTTGAAGTAAGGTAGATGTTTCATTAATCTCAGTGCAGATTCTACACTACAGTATTTGAATAAGGAAATCTGTTGCCAGCAGTTCTGCCTATGCCTTCCACAGCTCTTCCCAGTGAGCTTGTCTTCCTAATATGCTTGGGCCAGGCTACTTCTGACTTTCACGGATAGCTGGCATTTTAATATAGTCACATTGCAAAAGAAATACATTTACAGAAAACCAGAGGACTACAGAAAATATGGCAATCATTCAAACCTTCTTAGCATTAGCTTTGGGTTTTTGGCCACAACATACTGCTCCATCAGTTCCAAGAACAGCGTCCTCATGATGTCAGTATAGTATTCTAGTTTTCCATGTAAAGCAACTGTCAGTAAAGATGCAAAATACACTTTAGCTCGAGCAGAGAATTCCCTTTGGTTTTCCAGCGTGTGAATAAACTGAAACAGAAAACAAATGCAAAATCAAGTCAGATGACAGGTTTCTGAAGAACCTCAACACTTGTCTGCACTAAGACGACAAGCAATATTATTTTAACATTAATCTCCTCAGCACAGAATGGAAAAGTTTTCAGAAGTTTGAAAAAACTACTTATAAGAAAACGGTGCCTATAATTTCTTTTTAGACAGACACACAGTGTACTGGACTAACCCAAGGAATGTTTATATACTTTAACTGAAGGATGCTTTACCTAAATGAAAAAAGGTGTTCTGTGACAATTTTTTAAAAGATAAAACCAAGTCCCCTCTCCCTCAAATTCTCAGTCCTTTCACATCAAATTGCAAAAACACAAATCTAAGTTCACCTGGGAACATGCTCTCATCTGCCGTAAACTGTAACGCTACCATTAACTAGCTCAGTACTGAAGCCTTATTTGAAAAAAGGAGGAAAAAGTTAGAAGCCTAAATCTATATTTAAGTGTCTGACAATCAGCCTCAGCTTTTGAGAGTGAGCAATTAGAACTCTCTTCAGAGCTGCTGTGAGCACTCATCAAACTTGACGAACAGGCCATTTGAGGAGCCTCTGCCTCTCTGGGACAGAGATCCAGCAGATGGCTGCCTGCAGGTGACTCCCGTGATGAACAAGGATGGAATCAGCATTCTCCGATCACGTTTCTTAAAAGGCTAAACCAAACTTGTAACACCAGTTTTTATGCCAGATTGGGTAATACCTGTTTTCCTACAGCCACTGCAATGTTGACTAACTCCATACTAAGTGACCTGGCACAGAAATATGATCTTGCCTCTCCGCCCCATCAGGAAGCTCTGGCTGTGATGCCATGCATCTGCAGCAGTTACTGTGGAACCAGAACCATATGAAAATCACTTATTGTTAATAATGTTGGTTCAGCTGTGCTTGCAAACCTACTGTCTTGCACACACAGGTATGCCTAGCTAAGAGACAAGGCGAATCTACTTCAGTACTCACATTAATGAGAAATGATTTGCTATTGAGGAGGTTGGAGAACTGGTTCAAAGCCTGCTCCACAGTCTGTCGCCTGGCCTCAGGAATATCCAGCTTCCCCGTGATCATCACGTCTTTCTCTCCATCTTTGGAGGGCAAGAAGAAGACTCTGTCTGTGTAGGTTTTGTAGTCCAGTACTGGAATTCCAGCTTCATTGATATCATTTGTTTGATCCTCCATCTCTATCATTAGATCTGGAATATGCAATGCAGTTTAAAGGTTCATTTTAAAAAAGCCTGCAGCTTTTTTAGGCAACATTATCTCTTTGGGTGCCTTGTAATGGAGAAAAGGCAACTTGACACCAAAAACCCTATTTCAACTCACATTTTCTCTTGCTATTTTTACCAATTATCCTGTTAACTACAACCACAGCTAATCCTATGGTGACATGAGGATAACTGCCTTTAGCACAGATGGTTTCCTTGTTGCTGCCTATCCAAAAAAGGGCCTTAATGGATGTCTGGGTGAGTTCATATATGAATGTAGGATATATGAATGTATATGAATGTAGGATCATAGCACAGAGACAAAAAAAGACACTGCAATATTGTTTTCTTGGTTGTTTTTTTTTAAATACAAATTCTATTCCCTCTGAGTCTAGGTAGTAATAAAAGTTCTTTTAAAAAACACACAGCAATGAAGGAAAGAAAGGTTTAAAGTGTAAAGCATGCTAATTTAATTGGAAGGAAGGGGACAGCAGGAAGGAAGAAGGTTAAATGGTTCATTGCAATTGATGGAAACATTTCTGTGGGACTCAGAAGCTCTGAAGTTCTTAAAAGGGATAACAATTAGGGAATCATCCTTTGGACCAGCTATTCTAGCTGAAGGCTTTCCAATTACCCAATATTGCTGATTGACTAGAATACCGTGCTAATTAATATAGTGACCTATCGTCTCAGCAATTTTATTGCTCTTACTCATTCATTTACCTCTATGTCTTACAGGATTCAGCAAAGCCAAGGGAGAAAGCATCTTGTGGTTTCCAGCTTTGTGGTATTTTTACTTCCTTCCTGATGTCCCTTTCCTTGCCTGTCTTTGGTCCCATGTATTTTAGACTGTCTGCACTTCGTGCTGTTGACATTACAGTTTCACAGTATGGATCCAGAACATGTTTTGACTTCGACATTTTATTTTACTGTCAGCCAAGGTGGATGCAGTTTAGGAACTGGATTACTCCTTGGATGTGCATTCTACTTCCCCAGTGTTTGTGCTTGGTGGAACAGAGAGGAAACCTTCCACCCAATGCACAGCAGGACTCTGTAGCCTCCTATGAGGGGTGTCAGCAAGAGAAAGGCACCTTCTCCCTTCAAAAACGGGTATGAAGTTCCATGGGAGAGGCCGTGAGAGGGAGGGCTGTTAACCTTGATTCACAGTTCAAAATGCAGTTTGAAATGAAGCCCATTTGCGAATAGTTCTTGATTCAAACATTTGCGTATAGTTCATGTCCAGAATCTGGAAGGAGCCAGTTTTCCAGAGAAAACAAGGTGGTACAAGAAAAGAACATCCTGTCCCAGAAATGCCAGAAAAACAAGACTGGGAGAGGCTTCCAGCACGGCCAAAATCTTTGAGATACCCTGAGCTTCTTAAATTAATTTCAAACTCTAACCTGAAATTGCTGTTTAATTCAATCCTGCTTTTTAGCCACTGCCAATATGAAATAATCTATTTCTCTTTAGAAATAAAACATGTGGGGTTTTTTCAGTAGAGACTATTTCAACATGATCCAACAGCAAGTATAATTAAGATAATGAGGTGCCATTTCATGGTAATCATTTAGACCAATATGTGCAGTGTTTGCACTCAAGATGCCTAACTGAAGCGTTGCAATGAGTAGTTCAACATGTAGAAACGCTGAGCCTTCACACCTCCTGCTGCCTTCCCTGGGATGATGCCTCTGCATTTACACAGAACAATTAGCTAGCTCTAAAAATCAAGGTTAAGGTTTTCCCACAATGAGCAGGGAAAAATGCTATTTCTTTCCTGCGAGATTGCCAAATTATCCCTTTGTATGCTGATAGCTGCAAATAAATTTTGCAGCTCTGAAAACAGTTTTTAATGTGCATACTTGGCACATACAGCCATTGTGCTAAATACTAAGTGCACGTTTTTTCACCATAAAACATTCCTTCCTCCGTATCAATGGCCACTCACATTAATGGCTATAAGTAACCCCAATATCAACTAGTTTCTATTTCCCAGTTGCTAACTCGTGTTTCTTTAGACTAAAACTATCCATTTCCTTTAATAACCTCAGCTCCCTGTTTTATTTTATTTATGGCTTTCATATATAATAGCAAAATATCTGCTGTATGTCAATGTCAGTAATCAACACTATTAAGAGCTACTAATTATTTGTTCCCAGAACACAGTTTTAGCAAGCTAGCACCATTGCTCCAGCCCATCTTCTGGTTGCTCAAGAGGACCCACAGGAGTGCAAATATCTGTCATACCTGTGAATTCTTTCTTGCACCGGTCTCTGACACTCTCCTCCAGGCCTTCAAGTTGTGATTTAATTTTTTCATACTCTCGTTCTGCTTGTTGGCTCTTGCGTCTTTAGGGAATAGAAGTAAGATTTTTAAAAAGTTACGAACTGCAAAAGTAAATAATTTGCAACAGCTCTGAGTGGGAAGGCAAAGGACTGGAGGACATTTTCTGGGTTTTGATTTCTGTTTAAACGTTGGCAGAAGAAAGATAATGGAGGAGGAGAACTGCAGCAGTGGACCAAGCCTTCGTTCTGCGTATATCGACCTGCCACCATCACGGCCCTGCTACTTCAAACCATGCTTGGGCCAGTGATTTAAAATCCAATAAGCAGTAGCTACAAATGCTTTCAATCACATATTAAGTACAGAAACTCAGTTTGTATGTACTGAACAAAGATCGCTTGCAACATGTCCTGCACTGGCTCTCAGCCACCCAGGAGTGTGTCTGGGACGTAACTGAGAAGGCTGCAGGAGGTCCACGAGAATGTCGGTGCTGTACAGCGCACACTTTAGCACTGCTTCGGCTATATTGATATGCACCATAAAAGTGAAACCCACTCCCTCCCTCAGGAGGTATAAGGTCTTCATTACTAACCTTAAAATCGGGCTAAGTAGGTCTTAAGTGAAATACAGACATTGTTCTGGCCCTTTGTGAAGCATGAATTTCACCATTAATCATAAAACCTGTGCGTGGGTAACACTTATCTTAGCTGGAAAGGCCAAAATGACCCCTTAGCCAAATCCACCCAGCTCAGACCTACAGTGCTGACTGACGCAGCATAAATGCTGATGGATATGTATACAGAATAAGCCATCTCCTTCACAAGAGGCACTTTAGCTGCATTTAAAAAATGTATGTGTCCAACTCAGTCTGCAATTGTGTGCTTGGCAAGCCTGGGACCAATTGTTGTGCTTATGTATGAAGGACAGACTGGGCTGACTGACACCAAGGAATTTGTGTGTGTGAGAGGAATAAATTGGTGCTCATGCATATTTCCAGCTGTAACTCCCTTTCTTAACTCTGCAGCTCAGAAAAAAAGATGATAATTTCTGTAGACTGACCTGAAAACAATCAGGTAATACTTTGAAAGCTTTAGGACAGGAAAAAAAAAAACTAATTAAAGAAACTTACCTGTAACAGATGATAGAAATGACGATGATTGCTATCATAGGAATAAGTACCAATGGCAAAATAAGATTCAGTGGGATGTCACTCACACGCGTATCATATTCCACCCTTCCGAGGATCCATTCCCGGAGTCCAAACTTCACCTAATTAGATAAGCACAGACATTTGTCTCAAAAAGTGCAAATAGACAGTGGTTCACTTCTCAGTTGTGCTCTAAATTCTTAGTAATTCTTGCTAAGTGAATTTCTAGCTCGAGCTGCCAAACAAAGGAAACATTTCTGAATATTTTACACTGAATTTAGGTCACTAGCACTTTATTCCATGAAGTAATTTTGTTTTGCTTAGCAGAGGAAGAAAAATCCCCAGCCTGTCTAGCTACAATTTTACATTCCTATGTAATGAAGGTAGAAGACATTTGGCAGCTTGGGACCGCTCTTTACATGTGATGTCTTCTAAACAGCAGGCAGAAGCTGGAAGAAGAAAGAACTGCGAGGAGTTTCTTCACGGTACTACAACAACTTTGGAGAACAATTAAGCAGCACTGTATGAGTGTCACTTACACATGATATTAAATTCTATTGAAAAGGTAACCTACAATGAATTCAGGAAGGTTATTGATGGTATCTCTCTTCTGCCGTTTCTTTGGTTGCGGCTGTACTTCTGGTGGCTCACAATATAAGTCCGTTTCAGTTAGTGTTTTTATGTTGCAAGGCTCGTCACCCACAAAAGCCTGGGCCTCGTCTATCGTCATGGCTTTGTTCAGGTTACTGCCCTAAACAGAAAATACAAGGCTAAGTCATCATCGCAAAGTCCTGGGAGATGAGAAGTCCTGATCTGTAACTTTCCATTTGGATCATGTTTAGCAGCAGATGTGATTTGCACTGCAGTGTACAGAAGAGCAGAGGGGTCGGGAACTATGCGATTCCTCTCCTTTCCTTCCTGGGGCAAGAGTAGAGGTCCTCTCCAGTCCTTGGGAGCTCTATGGCAGAGGGCATTTCCAAATGCCAGGCTCAGCAGGAGGGGACACCCCTGGAGAACTCAAAGTATGGCTAAAAAGATAGCAACTATGTCTGACAAGGGGAGTGGGGAGGAAAGGGGAGCTGACAATGTTCATCATCTAGCAGAGGTAAGGGACTCTACCAAGCATTTTGGGTATGGTACCAAACAGCTGTTAAGGGGTCGCGAAAGGAAGGAAAAATTCCATACATGGTTTACGGACAAAATGAGCAACCACCATCTCTTGACAAGTTTACCTTTGCATTAATAAGTTTGTTGACTTGTTTTTTGATGCCATCTGTGAAGTTTTCAAAGGTTGGGTCTGCAACATAGGCAAAGGAGTGGCTCTCATTTTTTACAACCAAATGATAATGATCCATTAGAATAATAGTGGTAATATTATAGTTTTCTGGGTCTTCCAGTATTGGTGGGGAAGAAAAAACCACCGTGGTTTCATTGAGTCTTGTAACAAGCTTTCCATCAAACTGTAAGAAACAAGACAAGAAGAACATGCACATTTTAGTGTTTGACTTGTTCCTGTACATAACTGTCGATAACTTTAGACTGTAGAAATAAAACCACTAGATTTCTATCCTTTCCATACAGCAAAAATAACATAGTATGAGGTATTGTCCAAAAAGAAAATGAAACAAATTTGTTGATGGGAATAAGTTGTTGATTCATGCAGAAGAAGCTTAGGCCACAGATCAGTTCCCATTGCCTCCAAATTCTGTGGCTCTGCACCACATTGGGTTGGTATCATTAAATGCTCTAAGATTAAGAAGTTAACATGGTGGCTTTAGTCCAGATCATCTTCTGTACTGTAAAGTATCTCAGGTAGCTTAATTTCTACTGACACTGTAAAACATCTTGCTGAAATTCAATACAATTACAAAGTGAAATTTTGGAGTAAAATTTACCAATTGTCAATCAACTACTCAGGGTAACAACTCAGTTCACCTCTCCTCCATCCCCAATTGCACAGATGTTTTTATGCTAGAAACTCCTTCGGTTATTCAGTAACAGCAACCACAGCCAACAACACTAATAGGAATGCTCAGCATTTCTTCTATCACCACCCGTTTCTCATTTTGAGAAATGCAATTTGATAGTTTCTCCCTTGCATTTCTAATATTGCCATATAAGTGGAAGGAAACCAAAAGATTAGAAAAGTTTCTAGTCTTAACCATGAATGTGTGCCGTATGTAATGCTGGCTTAAGCTAACGTGCTGAGCATATATAAGAAGCAGGGTAAGAAATGTTGACAAACACTGTCAAGAACGCTAAATAGACTTTTAAGATTGTTTTGGGAATTAAGGTGTCAAGATAATTACATCTTGCAGTTTAAGGCCTAAGAAACGTAGGCCATTTTACCCTTAAAATTCTTTAAGGATAGGGTTCTGATGGACCCAAATCCAGCTGGTTTTGCCATACTTTAAAAGTTGAATCATGCATATAATAGAAAATATGCATATTACGAACTCTATATAGATCATACGACAGTCTTAAATTGAAGAGACAGCCTTAGAAAAAGTCTTATACTATTCTTACTGGAAGATCACTTTTAAGTCCTCAATCATTGCATTAAGTTGTGATCTTCATTCGAAGAGTGGGAAATTGAGACTATCAGCAATGTCAGTTCTTCTTCATGTGAGATGCAGGAAGGGTTCTTTTTTTTTTTAAATGTTGTTTTTCACAACTTTTTGTGAACATGCTATAGGTGGAATTTGCATGAAGCAAGAAAGAAAAGAAGACTTGGTTCACTGAGGTGTGAGAAAATAAAAGGCATTGACTGTGCAAAGCTGAGTACTCAGCATTGTCTGAATTTGTGTTCTGTTTCAGGCAAATCTCTAAAGCTTGCAGGGGAGAAGAAGAAGGAAGATAAAGAAAAAACAAACACTTTCAAATTCTGAAATACATCCGCTTTGCCACTTGAAGCTTAATTCTTCTATCCTTATTCATACTGAATGAAAGTAATTTTAAAGCAGAAGATTGCAAGGTATAAGTAAACGTAAGTGTTGTGGTTTTACCCGGCAGGTAGCTAAAACAGCCACTCAGCAGTTCGCTCACCCTGCCCCCCGCAGTGGAATGTGGGAGAGAGAAAAAAAAGGGTAGAACTTGTGGCTTGAGATAAAGACAGTTTAACAGGATAGGAAAAAAAAAGATATTGATAAAAGAATATGCAAAACAAGTGATGCACAACACAGTTGCTCACCACCCGTTGACAGATGCCCAGTTAATTCCTGAGCCGTGGCCCCTCCCCGGCCAACTCCCCCAGTTTATACACCGAGCATGACGTCATATGGTACCGAATACCCCTCTGGCCAGCCTGGGTCAGCTGTCCCGGCCGTGCCCCCTCCCAGCTCCCCGGGCACCCCCAGCCTCCTCGCTGGCAGCCCAGCAAGAAAGGCTGGACAGTCCTTGACTGCTCAGCAACAACTGAGAACATCAGTGTGTTATCAACATTATTTTCATCCCAAATCTAAAACACAGCACTATACCAGCTATCAGGAAGAAAATTAACTCTATCCCAGCCAAAACCAGGACAGTAAGTCAAGATGGTAGGAGGAGGCTCTTCCTCCATGGAAACCCTGAGCAGACCCAGAAATCTGTTCAAACAGTGGGCAAACTTAAATGCATTTTTTAAACAGATTATATGTTATGCATCCAGTGTGATGCCTTTGAGGGGAAAGAAAGAAAATTACCCTTTTGAGATTCGTTTTCCCTGCTTCTGGACGCTCTGCATATACCACCAACGAGAAACTCTGGATGAGCTCAAAACCGGTTCCAGTTACTGTAATATTTCTCCCTCCACTGAAAGACAGAATTAAAAAAGGAGTCAAGTCATTGGCAAACTACCACAGCTATAGACTGCTTTATCTTGCACTGCTACTGCTTCCACTGAAAACAGCTATATAATGCCTATATGACAATTAGATATCCTACACAAGGGACTTCTATTAAAGCTATGACTGTTGCATTTAAAAGCAGCAAAGTCAACTTCAAACTAATTTTAAAACAGCAGAATATAAAAACTACAAATTGGTTTTTCAGTATTTGTGGCTTTTCATTGATGCTTATCTTTGTGTGCTTTACTTCTCTAATGTTTTTGTTAAAATCACGCCACATTCCACACTCAGAGACAAAGGTGAAAGCACATTTTCCACAGGTTTGTAGGGACCTGGCTTCTTCATTCCCTTTCATTTGCAACACATTGTTTAAAAAATAATGTATTTGCATAAGAAGAATGCATGCAAGTTGCCAGTGGGAATTAAAGTCATCGAAGTAACATGGATTTACAGATATAGCAATCCTCAGAGCAATCCATTAAAGTAAGCTGCAATTTTTATAGAGAAAAAAAGGAGTCTCTTAAATCCTCTGGGGTAGATCACTATTGATCTACCAAAAAAACCCTCCAGGCCCCAAAACCATTCAAACCGAAAATCAAAAGCAAATATTAAAAAAAAATACTATTTTACATAAGTGACTTCTCAGTATTCAAGGAGGCAAGTACCAATTTCTTCAAGAGAAGTCACGGCAAATTTTAGTTTTCATGTCCTATTTCTAAGGTCACGATGTTACACTACTTTTTACTGAAAGAAAGCGGAGACATCATGATTTCTCTCTGCCAACTGTACCCCACTAAGCAGAAAGACCAGAATATTAGGGAACAGCAGAGACCAATGTGAATCAAAGTCACAAGTTTGTCCCTGTATCAGTCACAGAATGACTTTCAAAACCAGAGGTATGCTACAAGGACTTTTATACACATGATTTGCCATATTGTTATAAATATGAGTGGCACACATTTTTTTTTGTTTCACAATTAATTCTAGGTGAGCTTTTTTCCAGAAGGAACAGCTACCAGATGGGGTGTTAGTGAGTACCACCATACAAGACGGCTTACCTTTTAAAAGCGTTATTGAACCCTGATCTAGATTTGCTAAAAAGATGCTTTTTTTCCTCATGGGACAAAGAGATGACAAGCCATAACTTTCCTCTGTTTCCAGCATACTTATTAAAAGCTGAGTAGAAGAACTGTTAGAAACCTTTTCATTAGAAACCTCTTATATAGGTTATCCCTATAGGATAAGGATTTGTAAGTAACACAAAGATCATGTTGTCTGACATCATGCTGAAATGCTTCAGATCTCTTTCTTTAAGACATCTTAATTGAAAAGAAGATCATTACCTTTTCTGGTTTCAGGGTTTATCTTTGAAGTGGGGATTAAAGTTTGGAGATAACAGAATACTTTCAAGCATCAGCTGCGGTTAAGAAAGATCACAAACTCTACGTATCTAAATGTGTGCACAGCTAGAGTACGGGAGTTTTTATTTCAAACTTTCAAACAAGTTCTATATGCAATAGGTTTATTACATATTACACATATTTTAACCTAATTGTAAATGAAGTTATGGCAAACATTTCATTACCTGCTGAAGCTATTTACTGGCAGGAACTTGGTGACAGTAGGATTCTCACTGTATGAAAATGGCTGTGGTACAGTAATTGCTGTGCCCCCATAGTGCATTGTGACTTGAACAGCTTCAACCTTGCTATTAGGTCCTGTAATGCAAATGATCTCGTCTCCAAATTCAGTGCTAGATTGGAGAAAAAAAAGAAGAGCTCAGTTACTAACGTCATGGTGATTTGTACTCTTTACTGTAGTACCCCAGCAGCAACAAAAACAGGCACTGAGTAGTTACGAGAGGAGACAACACTTCCTTCAGATCACTTAGGGTCTTTAAAAAAGATGTAGGATATGAAAAGGAACAGTATACAAACACAAGAACAATGCAGTGTCAGCACACTTCATTCCTTTTTGGGGGGAAAAGAAGGACAGCAATTAATAAAAGGAAAAAGAAGTGAGAAGAACAAATCAAGGGGCACTAGAAGATTAAGATTTTATATGGAGCCACTGAGGAGGTGCTGAGTGAAAGCATGGGTGAGTCTGGAGCAGCCAGTCAAGCAGAGAAAGCCGAAACTGGAAAAATCTTTGGATATCTGAGTTCTCCCAATTTGCTTGTTTCTACAGCTGCTTCTTCCAGCTGGAGCCTCTGAGTGAGTTTCTGTCTGAACGTTACGTGTAGAACTCCATCGCATGGGATGAGTCACAAAGAGATAGACAATGGATTTGCTTAATTTCTAAAGGCCAGAAAAGGTTGGTGCTTTGTTACGATACAGCTCTGTATTGTTAGTTACTCAGGGTACGTACACATTGCAAGGCTGGCTACCGACTGAAACTTGAACGTCCTTCTTGGAACCAGTGGCCAGGTTTGTTCCGGTGATGGTAAGCATGGTTCCTCCTGCTTGTGGACCACTTTCAGGTCTTATTTGAGAAGGATGAGGTTCCTGCAAAGAGAAGATGGTCAAACTAATTAAGAAAAAATAACATTAAGTTTACACCAGTATTAGTTGGTACAATAGCTAATACGAGTTTAATATCACCACCTGAAAAATAATGAAATTAAAATAATGATGGATAATTCTTCCAAAGTAAAACAAAACCTCTCATGATTCATGATGAAAGAAGTAACAGATGATGTGAATATACTTATATTTTTCCATACTGTATTTTACGAGGCTTTATACGAATTTCAATTCCCTATTTACAAAATGTAGAGTTAGCTGCATTAATTTTGTGAAAGCTTCCTGTTGGATTTCCTGTTTTCACACTTTAAGATTTCTCTCTTCCTTATCTCTGAGTCTACCTTCACCTTTCCTTATCCTTTCCTACATTTGGAGTCAGCTACAGGAGAGACAAAGCCAGGTTTTCAAAACTGGTACTGAAAAGAAAGAATATTAACATTCCCTTTATCTTGTAAAGCTGGTAATTGCGCTAAAATTGTTATCCTATTTTTGAGCAATGAGTTCACAAAGAAAGAAAATCAGAAAATGCTAAACTTTTCTTTATGTACCTAGAACCTTGGAGTGGATTTCTTAAAGCCAATTGAAACAAGCAGATATCCTTCAAATTGTTATGAAATTTGTTGGATATTTAAATTTCTCAAATAAGTTCCCTTGTTTTGTTCTTAATTCAGTCTTTGTTTCCGTGATTGCATTCCGGGAGCTATGACAAATACTGTAAATTAACAGCGAGAGCTTTTCACGAACAGCGCGATTAAGTTACTTCATCGCCCAGTAGTCCCCGCTTCCAGCTGAGAAAAGCATCCTCATTCGGGACAACACTGAAGCTACTGAATCAAGAGGATGACGAAGCCGTGCAAGCCGCGTGAGATGGGTTACCAGCCGGCTCCGGGCGAGCGCTGCCTG